AATTCCTACCAGGCCCCTGCCCCAAAGCAGACAACGCCATGACAGGCAGAGCAAGGTCAGCCAAACAAACCCTAAATAAAGGGAGGGTGGGCGGGTAATCCGATGTGTGCAGCGAAAAGAGGAAGCTCAATGCTGTGCACAGGGAACATATATAGCACCCCCATCAATCAAATAAAATGCAACAATAAATTTCCCCCAGCAACAGTTGAAGGTGTCCAATCAAATTCGTGGCCATCCAAACTAACCTGCCCACCAACAGGGGATGTCATGGTTGCTCCCACCACAACACATGCTATCCATGAAGGAGAACCCGCTTTATCATGGAAATGAAAGCAAATGGAGGACCAGAACATCATGTCTCTGGTCCCCCATTCGCTGTCATTTCCATGTCAGATGATGACTCAGGTTTCTTAATCTAAACCACTGTCAGTTTTTACCCTGTTCTGTTCCGTTTGTAATATTTGTAGCTCATTTTTATTTTTTACTCTTTGGTAAGCTAATATGGGAATGCCAACTGGTCGATGAAAGACAAGACGTATCTTTTAGAAATAATTAAAATGGATTCTGGACCAGTTGTAGTTTCCTAACTGCTTTTTAACAGTGGTCCCACCAGGAGAGAATTGCAGTAGCCCAACCTGGATGGGTATCAAGAAAAGTAGCAATATAAATAAATATGTAGATGAGTATAAATGTAGTAAATAAATGCATAAGTTATAAACAGACACACTGGTACTGTAGTTTCTTCTTTTGCCACAAATTCTTCCTTTATTTTACCTTCCCATATTTGTCTCTTCTTAAAGAGGTGCTGTGAGCCAATGCAGCCTTGGACCGTTCCCCAACAGGAGTTCGTCATAGTCAGCAAGCTGGAGCTTTGATCAATCATTAGCATCAACCTTCTGGTTTAATTAAGTCCAAAGAAAGTGACCCGGGGAAGGCAGGCTGGATGGCTTCATGTCAGGGCTGCTTTAACGGGCGACAATGGTACTTTGTTAAAATGCATTAACGTTCACTTTACATTCCTCTCATCTCTTTAAAAGCTCCAAAATCTCTTGCATTACACAGACCTCTGGTCACTTGGCTGTGAAATGCATTCAGTCCGCAGCAATGGAGGCAATACAATTGCTTTAAATCCTGTTTAGAATTTCCAAAAGCCCTTTGGAAGCCCATAGTGATTCATTAGCCTTGTTCAGGCCAGCAACAATGGAGACCACAAGGCATTTGCACCATGAATTTTTCGGAGTTTTAGTCTGAGCGCTCCCTTTGTGCCTTTCTTTCTCAGCTTGTTGCCATTGCTATTGTGTTTGTGTGTGTGTGTGTGTGTGTGTGTGTGTGTACACACACACCCTTTGTTTTATTTTACTCTGAAGTTTTCAACTCCTTTTCTCCATACAATCTGCTACTTCAGAGATCAATCCAGATGTTTTCTCTTAGTGCTACTGCAGCTGTTTCCAGGGCTCTTCTTGCTTTGCTTTGGTGACACGTCACATGCTTGGTAGTGGCCTCTAGATTATGAAACCACTGTCTGCTTTCTGTTCAGTTGTCTCCCAATCTGGCTACTTTTAGGTGTGCTGTGAAAACTTTTTTATCCCACCAGGCCTTTGGGATGTACATTTTTTCCCCTGTTGACCTTGCTGGTGTTGAGTTCTGCTTGTTTTATATGTTCCTGCTGGTTTTTAAGTGGGTTTTGTTGTTGCTGTTACTTTAATTCATAGGAGCCAGCTTCTAGGGACTGAGGTCAATAAAATATTTGAGGGAGTCGCCCCCACCAAGTTGATGGGCATGTCCATTCAAATAGTGTGTGTGTGCTGTGTCATGTGATCAATAATGGGGGTGAGGCTTACCTCCCCCCCTGCCCCCCATATTCAAGTTGACACCCCTGCATTAATTATATATTTGCTGGCCACCCTGTGCTCCCTTTGGGAGGAAGAAGCAGAGTATAAACCCATTGAAATAGGTCACCTTTCCATAGCTTCCCCTTATGTCAGAAATAATACATTTTTCACAACCTAGCGAGGGGGGTTCTCATACACTGATTTAGAAATGGTCCACATTTATTATATTTGGGAGTGACCAGTTTCAGGATGACGTGAGACCATATGCTTTATTCTCTGGGATTTCTTACTCTGGCCTGTCTGCCTGGAAGCATTCCCTACTGTTGTCAGTGGGGCTTCCTCCCAAGTAAGTATGTACGAGATTCTGTCCTATTCACGTTGGCCGTATTGAAGCTTCATGTTCATAGGTAAAGGTGAGGGTAAATGGACCCCTGACCATTAGGTCTAGTTGTGGCCAACTCTGGGGTTGCGGCGCTCATCTCGCTTTACTAGCCGAGGGAGCCGGCGTACAGCTACCAGGTCATGTGGCCAGCATGACTAAGCCGCTTCTGGTGAACCAGAGCAGCACACAGAAACACTGTTTACCTTCCTGCCAGAGTGGTACCTACGTATTTATCTACTTGCACTTTGATGTGCTTTCGAACTGCTAGGTTGGCAGGAGCAGGGACTGAGCAATGGGAGCTCACCCCGTCATGGGGATTCAAACGCCGACCTTCTGATCAGCAAGTCCTAGGCTCTGTGGTTTAACCCACAGCACTACCCATGTCCCATGTTCATAGGAAGCATGCCTTTGAATACCAGTGGCTGGCAACAAGAAGAGAGGGATTTAATGCTCAGATTCTGGGCTTCCAAGAGACATCTTGCTGGTCACTATTAAAATATGCTGGGCCATCTGAGGCTTTGATTTGAACCACTCAACAGGACACATCCTATGATCATCTTGGGGAAAAATAAACTTTCACACCAGAACTTAGCAGGTACCTAGCACTTGTGATTGGTAGTATGTGTATGCCAGGCAAGACTTCCGGGGCTCACTCTGCAGGGTGTTATCACACAGGTGAGGAACTTGTGACCCTCCAGATATTGCTGGCCAGCAACTCCCATAGCCCCCAACCATTGTACATACCGCTTGAAGTGATGAGAGTTGTAGTTCAATAGTTTCTGGAAAGGCAGAGGTTCCTCACCCTGCTGTAATAGAACTGCAGTCTGAAGAGAGTAAAGTAAGCAACTCAGTGGGCTTGTGATCCTGCTCCTCTTAGCTGTGACCTTTTGGTCTCTTCCAACAGAGTCTCTTTCCATTGACTTTCTTGAGCAGAATAGGTTGGAAAGACCTCTGCATTGCCCACATTCCTGTCTCCTCTTCCAAGGCAGGCTTAGTACATTATTGGTATAGCTTGAAACCAGCCTGACCTCTGTCTATTTGCTGCAAAATACATGAAGGACATTTAGACCTCATAATCTACTTCTGAGGCATGGAATCCCTTTTCGCTGCCAGGAAACCTTATACAGATACATTACCTACTCAAGGTATTTGCACAGGGGCCTTGCTCTTTATTTCTCTTTTAAACTTGGCACTATAGCACATTAACAGGGGACTCCATTAGGCATGGGGATAATTGCATTTATTCCAAGGAGCAATAATAGTTTAGCAAAAGCCACATGCAAAAAGAGAGCGCCCAGCCTAGTACCCATCAGCCAAACCTCTTCTGTGCTGGTTGTACAATGAGTTCTGCTGGAGAATTCCATGTATGGTTTGACTAAAAGTAAGGCTTGAAACAGATACCATCTTTGATTCTACTTTGATGGGTGGAGAGGGTGGGGTGGAGAGAATAAATGCTACTATTAAAAGATCTGGGTTAAGGGCTAAAAAAGAGGCAGAGGAGTTCATATTCTGCTGACCTGTGTGCCCTCCAAATGTTGGACTACAACTCCCATCATCCCTGACCATGGGCTGTGTTGGCTGGGCTGATGGGATTTGTAGTCTGACACCAGGAGGACACAGGTTGGGTAAGGATGGGTAGAATGTTCAATTCAAATTCTTACTCAGCCATGAAATTCACAGGGTGTTCTTGGGTCAGCCTTGCCTAACTCGTAAGGTTGTTCTAAAGATAAAGAAGTGGGGAAGAAGTTTATATACTGCAATGAATTTGTTGGAGACAGACAAGGGTAAAAACACGAATAAAAATCGTGTATAGAATAAGAGCTGCAACAGGTTAGGCCATCTGACCTCATCTACTTTCTATATATATTTACCTTCCATGGGTCAAATAGCAGTTTCTGGGGAAGCATGTTATATTGGGGAAATGGCATGTGCGGGGTTAAATATCCCTTTCCTCAGTGTCACAAACCTGATCTGATTCTGAAGCCCTCTTTCATACGTTTTTAAAATAGAACACTCTGTTCAGATATCTCCTGTGTCTTCATGTGTAGCATTGGCTTGAGTTTCCAGTGTTTAATAAAAACCTTTATATACAAACATGCATCCATGACTAAAGAGAAGATTAAAAATGTTTCAAGAACAAATCAATGAACTGCAAAAGATTCTTGGAACTCCACAAACGCCAGCATCATTTTGGCATAAACACAGTTCAACAGCTACATATAGAAGAAAGTAGGCTGGTGGCACTGAAATTTCCATATGGAATACAGAAAATGTTGCTCTTTCACGCTCTGATATGCTTGCAAGCAAGGATGTAAGAAGGCATCAGTTTTCTGTTCCAACCTGTATTCTTGCAACCAGCGCTGTTTCCGTTCTGCTACAGTTTGGCTTCTGCTAAAACGTACATTCTCTGTCTTGCTACTATGGCCCAAACTGACATAATTATGTAACTGAATGCATTTCGACGGGAGGAAAATGTCAAAAGCAATGCAGAAAACAATGTGGTTATTTATGCAATGCTGGTGGACTAAAGAAAACCCCCCTAATGATTAGCAAATATCAATTGCATTCACTTGCGTGATTTCCATTCCTGACCTCGGGCGAACGTGAGAATGGTGGCAATTTCCATTTGTGCTTCCATTTCCTACCGAGCTTTCTGACATCCCTACTTTCAAGTGACCCGTAGAAATGCTAGCGGAGTTCCCCGCTTCTCCCAAAAGCAACTGCGTGTGCATAATTTGATTTCTTTTGCCTTTAAACCTCTTGCTTTCCTGTCCTCTTCTTAACAGATGACTGCCACAGCGCAACAGCCAGCCAAAGCCCAGCCAGTACACATCAACACACCTTCGGCAGCCGCCAACACTCCTATCCCCAGCACTCCCATCGACCCTCAGGCACAACTGGAGGCTGACAAGCGAGCTGTCTACAGGTACAGAGGGATTCTGCTGCCAGGCTGCTCTTTAATGTCGCTTCCCATCCCTGTAGCGGCATGCTGAGATATTACTGGAATCTGGCCTGGGGCTATCTTGTCAGCGAGATGCTGCACAGAGGCTGCTTCTTAGCCGTCTTTGTCAATAGACTGAAAAAGACAGGTTCCAGTGCATGTTCAACTAGGTGAGCCTCAAGCTGAGGACTTAAAAGAGATTTGCTTTCTTTGTTGGAGCTGGAGTTAAATTACAGGCAACAGAATGGTGATGTGGCAATGAATGTTTTGAACGATGGAGGGAAAATGGCTTAGGGGCCCTGTCTGCGTGATCCGTTTCTTCTTTGGCAATGCAAATGCATTTTGATTCTCGCTGGCTGAACACAGACCACTTCTGTTTTAGGGGTCGGACATATTCAGAGCACTCAAAAGTAAGGTTGACTCCTGATTTAAAGAAATCTAAAAATTTCCTGGGGGTAGGTAAAGATAAAGAACCCCCAGGCGGTTAAGTCCAGTCAAAGGGGTTGTGGCACTCATCTTGCTTTCAGGCTGAGGGAGCCGGTGTTTGCCCACAGACAGCTTTCTGGGTCATGTGGCCAGCATGACAAAACTGCTTCTGGTGCAACAGAGGACTGTGACGAGTGCCAGAGTGCATGGAAATGCTGTTTATCTTCCCGCCACAGTGGTACCTATTTATCTACTCACACTGGTGTGCTTTTGAACTGCTAGGTTGGCAGGAGCTGGGACAGAGCAACAGGAGCTCACCCTGTCACGGAGATTCGAACCGCCAACCTTCTGATTGGCAAGCCCAAGAGGCTTTGTGGTTTAGACCACAGCGCCACCCGCATCCCTCTATCCTGGGAGTAAGCTCCATTGCATTCCGTAGGAACATGGAAAAGGGAGCCAGCACTGCTCACCCCACCATAGCTGTCAACTTTTCCCTTTTTTAAAGGGAAATTCCCTTATTCCAAATAGGATTCCTCGCAAGAAAAGGGAAAAGTTGACAGCTATACACCCCACAAAGCAGCCAAATGAGAAACAGGTATTCTCCGTAGCCACCAGGTGCAAAGGAAGTTCGTTGTCAGTTGGAAATAAAGCTGTAGGAGGGAGAAGGAGGATTAGTTGCCCTGCCGAAACCCTTTCCATCTTTTAGTATCCTGGAAGAAGTCATGGCTGACTGGAACCTGGAAGAGGAGCACGTTTTGTTGCTGGTCCCACTTGTCGGTCTCTAAAAGCACACTTAAAACAATATTAAAACGTATAGCATAAAAATAACATCTTAGAGAAGAGCCTTCACCAGAGGTGACATAATAGCGGTGGTAATTGATTGCATGCATATAATACTCATTTGCTTGAACACCACCAGTGATAACTCATTTTGGGGAATCACTCTTTGCTTTCTGCACCCACGGCCGACTACTAATGGGCAGCCAATTGTCGGCGCAGTGCTTGAGTATGTCAACACTCCTGAAGGGGACCTGCGATGCCAGCGCTATGTGAAAAATCCCTCTGCGGATGAGCTGCGTGAGTGAGGCAGCCTGCAATTTTGAGTCCTTTTGTAATTTTTGATTTCACACTGCATATTAGCAGATTTGTGTTTTATATGTGAAGAAAGGAGCTCGAGAAAAGGGATGCGGGATAGAACAGCGGCGGGTGAGGTAGGGTGGCAAGGCAAGAAGAAGAAGTGTGTTTGAATCGAAGCCTTGTATATCACACCGAGTGCCTAGAGGGGATTCTTTTTGTTTTGTTTTTTGGTTTTTTTTAATTAAAATTTCTTGCCTCTGGGTAGCATGACAGTTCAAAACCGCATTGGGGATTTTTCATTTCATGTCAATAAATTTAACAAGGCCCTATTCAATTCAAATTAAGGCTTAAGCTGTATCTTTTATGCTCTCCTCTTGGAGAGGACAGATAAAAAAGAAAAATATATGTGGCACTTAATTTCTCGTCTCGCACCTGCATGCTGATGCGCCAAATCCCCCAGCCTAAGCTAAAAGAGAGCAGTAAGAGGAGAATGTGATAGCAGTAAGTTTGTGTTGGTGGTGATTGATGTGTTAGGAAAGATAATCTCTTTCCACAAATCCAAAACTTCAGGACAAAGTGCCTGGTTCTGAATGGAACGTGCAGGAGTGTCTTGTTTGCTACCTAGCCAAAGTACAACACAGTTTGGGAGAGCCTCTCTATAAGGAGCGGTAAATGGGTGTCCTTATTTTACTCTTCTCCTTCCATCCCCTTTTCCATTTGCTCTGTGTCTACTAGACTGCAAGCCCATGAGCAGGGCTAGTGCCATTGCTCCTAATTTTTGTTCAGCACCTATAGATTTCCTGAATCCTCATTGTTGTTGCCTACATGATTGTTCTGTGTTGGTCAGTAGGACATTGACTGTGGCTGGATGGGTGGGTGGGTGGGTAGGAACAATGGAGGGTGGGTGGGTTTTGTTGTTATGAAACAGAAAATTCAGTATTTTAATAGTTAAAGTAACAAGAATGATTGGGGCTAAGTTCCTCTCAAAAGCATTAAGAAACAGAAACCTACATGCTCGGATGAAACATAGCGATCGCCTTGGAACCCTTTCCCTGTATTTCTGTTTTATTTTGCTTTTGAAATTGTTTTTGGGGTTCTTTGGACTGAAATAAAGTGTGTGTGTGTGAATGTGGAATGAGAGGTGGTGCCATTTTGTGCAGCAAAATGTCTTAGACTTCCCTGACGTTGATTAGTATCCATATAGAACTTAAAGAAGTAACTTTCTCCTGGTGTAAACTATATACACTTTCTTATATATGTAATAGGGACGCAGGTGGCACTGTGGGTTAAACCACAGAGCCTAGGACTTGCCGATCAGAAGGTCGGCGGTTCGAATCCCCACAACGGGGTGAGCTCCCATTGCTCAGTCCCTGCTCCTGCCAGCCTAGCAGTTTGAAAGCACGTCAAAGTGCAAGTAGATAAATAGGTACCGCTCTGGCAGGAAGGTAAACGGCGATTCCGTGTGCTGCTCTGGTTCGCCAGAAGCAGCTTAGTTATGCTGGCCACATGACCCAGAAGCTGTACGCCAGCTTCCTCGGCCAATAAAGCGAGATGAGCACCACAACCCCAGAGTCAGCCACGACTGGACCTAATGGTCAGGGGTCCCTTTACCTTAACAAGAATGATAATGAGTGATGCTAATTGCAAAATAATATTAACGTATGTGAAATCTGGCTGTGTATCAGTGATATATCAGGAACATTTCTGTCTCTTTTTTCTTACACACACACACACACACACACACCAGTGCATAGTATGTCCATGCCTACAAGAGACAACAGCAAAACTCAGTTGTGGCACACTTTATTATGCCCATCTCCTGTTTTGTTCATGCCACTTACGGAGTTGGCCTTTGATCTCTTCCATCTTCTGCCACTTTTCCCATCTGAAATACATTAGTTGCTATGGAAATGCATGGAGGAAGGCCGATGCAACTCCCAAATGCAAAGTAAAGGCAGTTTAATAACTGGTGCCTTGGCCTGAAAAATGCTCTGGATTACTTAAGGCCATTACTGGTGTACGTGTCTAATTTGTGTACACTCAGCGATGTGCTCCATAGAAGCAGCTAAGGATAGGAAGAGATACACAGCAGGAGATGCAGCTTCAGAAAGACTTAAATTCCGACAGCCAAATTCTCATCTCTTACTTCCTGGTTCTCATTTAGCTGAGCTCCTTCGTTGAGCTGACATACCTCATAGCAGCAACAGTGCGCTGGTCGGAGCTGAGCAAGGAAGTCTCCACAGTAGGATCCAGGAGCAGCCAGAATAAGCTGAGATCCAGGAAAGGCTACCATGAGCCAAGCAAAGTTTCAACCTGATGTCAGGGGCTGGACTGAGGAGGAATTGTGGGGACTGCCCCTCCTTCTCCTGAACCTTCCCGAAAACAGGAGGACAGTATAGATTCAGAACAGTGGTTTGCAGAAGGGCATAGTTCAGAGGCTGCAGAGGGGAGAAGCTGGGGAGTATTGGGAGAGGAACAGCAGGAAGAAGAAGAAGCACCAGGGGAGAGACAGCTGACAGACTCAGTGTCCTTGGAAAGCATTCCTGACCTCTCCTCTCCCAGGACCAGGTGAGAGTTGAGAGTAGTAGAACAGAAAGCTCAGAGACAGAAAGCTCAGATTAGCCGACGCAGGACTGATGTAGAATAGGAGAGACGTAGGGGGTGGGACTTTACTTGGAACAATGCCATTATCTAGGGAAGACTGCATTCCTTTGTCTCTCTCTGTGAATAGTGAATAAAATTACTTGGTAAGAACTTTTATTGTTTATCTGATTCTTGGCTGCCACCCTGGGAGGGATTGGATTCCCCAAAACCCGACGCCTGAACAGAAAGCCTTTAGTGCAGCCTTTCTCAACCTTGGGTCCCCAGTTGTTGTTGGACTACAACTCCCATCACCCCTAGCTAGCAAGGCCAGGGCTCAGGGATGATGGGAGCTGTAGTCCAACAACATCTGAGGGCCCAAGGTTGAGAAACACTGCTTTAGTGGCTCTATTCCAGGCACAGGCAAACTCGGCCCTCCAGATGTTTTTGGCCTACAACTCCCATGATCCCTAGCTAACAGGACCAGTGGTCAGGGATGATGGGAATTGTAGTCCCAAAACATCTGGAGGGCCAAGTTCGCCTATGCCTGCTCTATTCTCTCAAAAGAAGCCAATGGGTGGAATCCAGTAGGAACCTACGGCCCTGGACCATAGCTCGCACTATCCCTGAACATTGTCCTTGCTAGTTGGTGCTAACGGGAGTTAGACTGCAACAATATCGGTGTGTGTGTGTGTGTGTGAATAGATTCCCCATTCCTGGCATAGACAGATGCTCTACCTCAGGCAAAGGCAAACTTGGTCCTCCAGATGTTTTGGGACTACAACTCTCATGATCCCTGGCTAACAGGACCAGTGGTCAGGGATGATGGGAATTGTAGTCCCAAAACATCTGGAGGGCCGAGTTTGCCTATGCCTGCTCTACCCTGTATCCCTATTGACTTA